GGAATGATTTTTCAAGACCCAACCGCTGACCTAAACTGCGCGCACTATCGCCGCGCCTTGCGTATTTATTCCGTTCAGAGTAATCGAGATCGTTCTCGAACAGATCGCTCACCGCAATGTTGCCGCTGCTTGTGCTTATTTTGAGAATTACAGAAGCTTCTATGATTCTTACCACCAGAATCGCCTCTGCGAGCTATCGGTAGCTCGCGATCGCCGGGTAGGCGACTACTGGTATAGATCGTACAGCTTCGGGCAAAGAAGCTACGAACCGCCCTCACTAGTATCATCTCTGAAGCAGGAAAATAGGTTATGTTTTTTGAATCTCATATAACTTTACATCATGTAAGACCATGATACCCATTTCCGTCTGTCTGTCCGCTAATCATTGGCCTCTTGGTTAACTTGGAAAGTCCTGCTTGGGGTTTGGATGGAACTCTTGCACAAGGTGACTACTATTTCAAGAACAAATAAGCTTTCTGGCTTTTGGAAACTAGTTCAGTAGCGACGAGGGAAATCTCCACAAGCTTTGTCTTTTATTTCGGAGGATTTTAACAAAAAAAATTCAGGTATAAAGAATACCAATACGGATATAAAAACCACAGGTGATATATTTTCTAACCATGCCCATCTTAACTGCAAAGACTTTTGCTTCTTATATTCTGTATGTTTCCCTTGTACTGGTATAAAAAATAATCCCAATCACCTCTAGGCGGGTACTTGAAGACTTTGAAAGAAACTTGAATTTCCAATGCCATCAACAACGTTGCAACCGTTGTAGCCCCATATCTTTGCGGTATATAGTTGACAAGATGTCGATGAAGTAGAAAAGACGTATAACAGCGTATTTTCAATAAATTAATTTATTTTAAATTCCTGTATTATAAGAAGTGATGAATTATCCAATGGTCTACCAACGTACGCAATAACATTGTCCTAGGAAGCAAAGACCAAATATAGCAGAATGATTTCTGCAGGTTTCAAGGCACTCTGTATTGTTGCATGGTGGTTCAGGATCACTGTCAAATCCTCGGAATATCCTTGGCTTCACCTCTGTAATATAAATAGTATTGTAGAAAGCAATTACTGAAAGGATTTTATTCTTAAACGTTTACCCAACTAATGTTTCTGTAGTCTACTATTTTGTGAAAGCAGTAAGGCGTATTTTTAAGATTTGTGGTTTATGACTTATGGTTGATTCTCACTATACATTCCGTTTCCATTCCGTAACCGTTCCGTAAATTATTGAAATTAAATATTCGCCTTCGCTTAAAGCAGGATATGGCGTGTGTATGCACCTTATCCGTAAGGTATACTGTGTATACAATCACATTGTACGGAACGTTAGCGAAACTGATATGGGATGGAAACGGAATGTATAGTGAGAATCAACCTTTATGGATAGATAGAAAATATATGGAGAAAAAGAAAAATAAGAAGAACAGTATGACGATGATAGTGATAAAGGTTTGCAAGTCAGAATTTGTATTGAAGGGATTTTGACATCAAAGCAGCTTTCAAGCTAAGAAAACACAATTGAGTGAATTATTAAGACCTCTGGGAGTTCGCGATAGTTTTGCTGGGGCAGAAATCAGACACATTTATGAACATGTTTAATATTGAAAGGTTTGTACGTCGAGCCGAAACCAAAACTAGAGTGGAACTAAAAATTTCATGAAGGATATGATGACGTGTCTTGTAATTAATTGGATTTGGGTTTCCTGTTACAAAGTTGCCGACGTTTCGGAATAATTTATTTTCCTCCTTCGGGCTCTACAAAAAAAAAATACTTTGCATGTACATTAATTAATAGTTTAAGCAATAGAACCGATGTAAAAATTCTTATTGTAGTTAAGATATTATATAAAATAAACTATTAAAACGCATCCCTAAGTTTCATTATCAGTATAGGAATTTCAACATATACACACATAAGAATAAAGCAAAGACACAACGATTCGTAACAATTTAGCTGGATATTCAAGACGTATGAAAAGTTGTTTTTGTTTTGTTTATCAGAATAAAGGAAATTATAGCTAACTCACTCTTTTAGTTAGAAGCTGTGGTGGTCAAAAAACAATCCAACGTTATGCCCATCCTAAATATTATCATTTAGACTGAAACTTATCAATAAATAGTGAAAATCTGATATGTTTTTTACGATACTTGATGTTTTGAATTTTTGTGGTTGATTAATATTATCCTTTGGTCGTTACTTTGTTTTCATGAAATTTATGATGTTATATTATTGTACATACTACTTAAATATGCTAGGTCGGTTTTCTTATTCACTGCATTATTGTGTCTTTTGATATTCAACAGTTCCTTGAACATCATTTTTTTATTAAATATCATTCCTGCATAGGACCTCGTAAGCATCTAAACTCAACATATGACATTCTTAAAACTTATGTTGGACTAGGAGGTAAGTCTTACAGTCTCTTTTGTATTCTGATGTTCGGATTTTTAAGTACCTTTTTGTTGTCCTATAAATATTTTGTGACAATCACATCACTAGCTTGTCGTTCTGTTGGAATTGTGACCTTAAGTTTACTAAGAAGTTATTCCTGATTGTAGCTTCACTTTTACACACAATCCAAACTGTATCTTAAACTTAAAACGCTCGCCGATTTCTCCGACAAATTCTGGCTTCAGCGTTGTTGTCCAAATCCAGTTAATTACAAGAAATTCATATTAATAAGGGTCATTAGAAGGATAATTTTCTATTCTATAGACGTTAAGATCGTCAGAAGTTCAAATCGACTAGCCATACTCCCCCTTAACTCACTTGAATTTCAGCCTAAGCCTGTTAACTGCGACCAATATAGTCGTTAAAAATCATATAATCTCTACCACTACAAGACAAGAGAAGGAACAGGTAGGAAAAGATAGGTCTAAACTCACCTTCCTCTTCAGCAAAGACGAATAGGGCCATTATGGTAACTACTGCAAAGACACTAAGTAAGACTTTCATTTTGAATTGTTGGATCTTCGATCTACTGTTATTGGGTGAAAGGACAGTTTGATGCTATACAAAATCTGATAGTTGTGCAGGGCTTTTATATGCACCGGGTCTACGTTCAAGTGGCATTTTTTTAGTTTATTTTGATAAACATATTTATTCTAGATCTTTACTAAACTTCATTGCTGAATGATTCTTAGTACTTACGTTATTTTAAGTATCTTTTTAATGTTTGTTTTAACGAGTGCTGATACGGAGAATACCGTATAGTCACTGCTATGAGTTTTTTTTGTTTCCTATCATTACTATTAAACTAGAAAGCACTTATCTATTAAATCAACTAAACTACTATACTTTGTTATAAAATGTAGCAATATCATATCAGTTGGTGAACTTCATACACTTTTCATGAGTGGTAATTCAGATTATGCCCGAATACCTCGAAAACCTAGCTTCCACGCATTTTCTTGACAAGAGGTTTTAAAATATTTCAGGGTATCAGAAAAGCAATTTGACCCCAAATATGATCTTGACAATGACCTCAGGTTCATTTGACGGTCAACTTTGTAAATTCAAATGACAACCACCATTTTCGACAACACATTTTCACACATTAAGTCAAGCGGTCATAAGTGGTTTAATGATTTTGACCTGAAGTTACGTCTGTAAGTTTACGAACGCCCAGAAAACCTGGCAACCAAGCATTTTTTTGGAAAAAATGCTCAGAGAAAAGGCTCAGCGTTTCAAGAAAGCAATTTCTCGATGACCTCAGGTGTGACTTGGAAAATGACCTCAGATGTCTTTGGGGGTCAACTTTGAGAATTAAAATAACAGCAATGCATAATGCACCTTAGGATACTATTCTCTTGAAGGGGAGATACAACATTGTTTCACTTTCATTCAATGTTCTTAGTATTTTTTCAATGTTCTGTGTTCTTGGTTATACTACTTCCTTGCAGTTTCCATACACTAGGCTGTATCTAGATCAAAATACCTAACTCAGTGTTCACTTTTTTTTGGCAAATTGAAAAAATTCTACAAGCCGCATTTCATAGTTCTTGGATCGATGCATCGAGGTCGGTCAAGATGGATTACATGTAAGGGTCTTCATACTACTCTGCAGCCAAGTAAGTATAAGATAGTCAGTGGTATTGTAGCTCTAAAACCTATAAAAATTCTGAGTTCACTTTATTATTATATATTATATACCTATTTCTGTTTCAGATCTTGAAAACAGCCTTTTATTATCACACAATGTTCCATAATTTAAGGAAGAAGAGTTAGATACGTACCAAACGACACTCGTATTAAATAGAGTTTTAATTGTGACAGTAAAATAGATACATATATCTGAATGATCGACAAATATCGTGAACAACCCAACTTCGCACTCGCATATCAATCTATATGGAGAAACATATGTAAAACATGTTTCCATTCAAGACAATATACTTAAATCGTCACTATTTTTAACAGAAACATTACTGTCGAGAAAATAAAAAAGTTCAACTCTAATTTATTTGTATATACCTAAAGGCATGTTTGAAGCTTCATTCAGCAGCAACAACAACAACGACATCGAAACTGGATAAAGGATGGAAAAATTCCATGTAGTCAGCCCACTGCCATTTTTTTATGTTGCCCACTGCTTGGCCGGTTTGGTAGATTTTATATATTTTGCAAATGTGTCTCTGATATTCTTCCACCTTTTTTTACTTCATCACCTAAAAACGATTTTTTTTATAGATTCCTTGCCACTGGTGACACCTTCTATACCATTGGGCATAGCTTTCGAGTTGGCTTTACAACAGTGAGTGCAATCGTAACCGAAGTCTGTGAAGCGATATGCAGACATATGGAGCATATATATTTACCAGAACCAACAGAGAATATATGGAAAAAATGTGCTGAAGAATTTGAAAATAGATGGGGATTTCCCAATTGCATTGGCAGCGTGGACGGTAAACATGTAACAATCAAGAGACCTAACAACAGTGGCTCCAATTACTGCTGCTATTTACATAAATATTCAATAGTACTTATGGCCATTGTTGGCCCGGACTATAAATTTATATGTGTTGATATTGGTGGTTTCGGAAAAAATAGTGATGGGGGTATTTTCGAAACCTCAAACATGGAAAACGATTTGAACAAAATTTAATGAGTGTCCCTGCACCTAGATTTCTCCCTGGGCAAAATGAAATCTGCTCGTACGTCTTAATTGGTGACGAAGCATTTGCTTTTAAAACCATACCTTATGAGACCATTTCCTTATAAGCAGACTTTAACAGACGTCAGAAAAGAGAAATACAATGTAAGACTTTGTCGAGCTAGAAGGTTCGTGGAAAATGCGTTGGTATTTTATCTTAAAAATGGCGAATATTTTACAGGCCATTAGAAACTAAAGTAGATACTACTATTCTAATTGTACGTACGGCATGTGTTTTACAGAATTTTTTACGAAGTAAAAGTGGCGATGACAAATATTTTCAATTCTTAGATCCCCCAGAACCCGTGCTTGGAGCTTTTACTGATATAGCAAATGATCTCGGCGGGCAGCAAGGCTAGCATTTTCTACTCGTGACAAATTCGTAAATTATTTTAATTCTGATATGCCTATGCAGAATATATAGAATGTTGTTTTCACATTTGTGTAGACTGTAAATTATTTAACAAGTTAATAAAAAATATTAGCCAAAGCGAATATTTCGCGCCGGTTTGTGGGATGCTTAACTCAGCAAGGCATTCATGTTGCGATGAAAGTTGTAATAAATTATGACGCGAAAATGTTCTCGGTTAAGTTCCATTTTTCTAATGACTTGGTGATACTTAAAAATTCACTGTAGTGAGAACACTGCACGTATTGTTGTGAAACTTTAAATTTAAGTTTACTAAAGACTGAAGTTAAGATTCAGTACTCAAATTATCGTAGTTACTAAGAACTCCATGGAAAGTCTAAAAATTAAGGAAAAATGTGGGTTTCCACTTACAAATCTAGTGTAACGCAATATCTTATTGTTGGATCACCCTGTATTGTACGGCTATAGATAAAAATAAGTCTCCGTAGAAACCAAGATTGACGTGTCTGGGCGTTTTTCCCAAAATATAACAGAAGAGTCACAAATAAGGCCACCCTGTATACTGTTTTGCATATTTTTTGTAAATGTTAATCACCCTATAACTCCGCCTCTGGTAGATGCTGGGTGGATTGAGTAGCTCAGTGACTGCCAGTGCCGGTCCCAAGCCCGGATAAAGGAGGAGGGTTGTAGCGGCGGGTTGGCTCCCCGCCCTGTGGAAAAAAAGCATTGCTAAAAAAACCCATACAGCAGCCTCGGAATTCGGACGGATTACACGGAAAACGACAAAAGCAAAGAAAACGGTTAACGAATATTGGATGCTGGAATATACATGGACTAAACACTAAAGATGATCAAGTATTTAGAGAACTCCACACATACGACATCGACATAGCAGTACTCAGCGAAACAAAGAAGAAAGGACAAGGAAACAGCTACAAAGATGAGTACATATGCTTTTGGAGTGGAGTAGAAAAATCGAAACGGGCCAAAGCTGGTGTAGCTATTGCAATAAAAAAGGTCATGGAGAAGTTCATAATGGACTGGAACCCAGTTGACGAAAGGATCATAACGGTTGACATGAAAATAAAAGGAAGAGAAATTAAAATATTCGGTATCTACGCGCCCACAGACGACTCAGATACAAACACAAAAGACAAATTTTTAGACAAACTCTCTGAGGAATTAGATAAGACGAAAAATAGACAAGAAATAGTCTTGATAGGCGATCTGAACGGAAGAGTGGGCAAAGCTCTTGACAGTAAAATAATTGGACAACACGAAGAGGAAGTAGTCAATGAAAACGGAACCAGATGGATAGAGCTTTGTGAACAACACTCGTTAAGAATCTTAAACGGATTTTTCCAACACAAAGACATACACAAATATACTTGGACTCAAAAAACAAAAAACTTGAAATCAATTATTGACTATGTCGTGATTAAACAGGACACTTCCATAATACCCTATGATGTAAAAGTTTGGAGAGGAGCTGAGTGCGGTTCAGATCACCTGCTAGTAAAAGCACCCATTGAAATTACTTACAATAAACATCTCATATATCAAGAACAAAATAACAATGGAAAACCCACAAAGCGATATAACATAGACAGCTTAAGGGATGAATCCACCAGTTTCCTTTACAAACTACGTTTAGCACAAAAACTGGACGAAGATATTAACGGCAAGGCAGGAGAAATGTATGAAACTTTGAAACACAAAATTCACGAAGCAGCACTAGAAGCCCTTGGTGTTAAAGATAGAACGGAACACAAAAATTCTTGGTGGACGGACGATTTAACCCAACTGGTAGAAGAAAAGAAAAACTTATATCTTAAATGGTTAACTACAAAAGACGATGAAGATCGAAAAAGCTATAATCGTTTTAAATATATAGTAAAAAAAGAAATTAAAAAAATAAAAAACAAAACATGGGAAACCAAATGTGCTGAAATTAGCTCAATGGTAGGAGGATCTAGGTCTAGAGAAGCTTGGCGAACTATAAATGGCCTTAAAACAAACACGAATGAAAGAAGAAAAATAAATCCCATAAAAATAGAACAGTGGAAAGACTACTACAATAATCTACTGGAAGAACAACGTGGAGAGTATTTAGACACGCAACTAGATATAGATCAAACGCGAGTTAACAGAGTAGATACCATTCAATTAGAAGAAATAAAAACACCATTACAAAAAATGAAAAATAATAAAGCTCCGGGACCGGGGATTTGCCTATCGAGTTAATTAAACACGCCACCACAAGAACGCAGGAGCTAAACAAGTGCCTGGAAGGGTAAACGATTCCCAGAGATTGGAGGAGCTCTTACATAAATTCCATTTATAAAAAGGGAAACAGGAGTGACTGTAGTAATTATCGGGGTATTAGTATTACATCGTCCATCGGAAAGCTGTACGAAAGAGTCCTAACAGCCCGAATAGAAGACGAAGCCACGGAAATTGAAGAACAATGTGGATTTCGACCTGGGCGATCCTGTGTCGACAACATATTTACAATAAAAAACAACTGACAGAAAAGAGATTAGCAAGAGGAATGGAGCTACACGCTACTTTTATAGATCTCCGCAAGGCATTCGACTCCGTCCCTTTGCAGAAATTATGGATCGCAATGAAAGAAGCAGGCATAAATAGCAAATACATAAACGCCGTAAAAGCAATGTATAGAGAAAATCAAGTGGTCGTTAAAGTCGGAAATCAAATTTCTGAGGCTTTCCCACAAACAAAAGGTGTTAAGCAGGGCTCCTGCCTCTCTCCAACCCTGTTTAAAATTTATCTCTGCAGCGCTTTAAAACAGTGGATAAGAAAGTGCAGCCCCATGGGGATATGGTTAGAGGACTTTCACTTGTATATCCTCTTTGCAGATGATCAGGTAGTCTTTGCAGAAGACCAGCAAGACATGACTTACATGATAAACTTATAGAAGAATTCACTAAATGGGGTTTGGAGATAAATATACAAAAGACACAATACATGACTATAGGAGGCACAGGACAAGACATCGAAACAAAAAGCGGAAAAATAGAAAACGTCGGACAGTACCAGTACCTAGGAGTTACAATAGATGAAAGCGGAAAGGATAATAAAGACATACTAAGGAAAATAGGAAAAGGAAAAAATATGATTAAAGCACTACATCCGATCTTGTGGAGTAAGAACCTAACAAAGAAACACAAAAAAATTATATATCAGGCTATGATTCAGCCAGTACTGACGTATGGGTCAGAAGCGTGGGTTGTAGATAAAAATATGTCACAAAAGCTTCTCTCAACCGAAATGATGTACTGGAGAAGATGTTCCGGTTTAACTTTACTTGACCATGTTAGAAATGAGACCATCAGAGAAAGAATGGAAGTCGAAAATACAATAATGGACGATATAACAGAGAGGCAGTTAAAATGGTATGGACACCTGCAACGAATGAACGAAGAAAGGATACCATTAAGGGTTTGGAAATGGACACCAGCACAAGAAATAAACGAGGAAGACCACGAAGGAAATGGATTTCAAACATCCATACCGCAATGGAAAGTAGAGGACTACATGAAGGAGACTGGAACGATAGGATACGATGGCGTATGGGTTGCGAGAAGCGACCTTAGGTTGCAGAAAAACTCGCCATATATATAATCGCCCTATTCAGATGATGTTAGATAAATGATCATCAAACTAACTTATTTAGTGGAGGTGAAAAATGGTTGTGCCAATCCTTTTCCCTTTTGGGCTCTTGTTCATTTTACTCGTATATTTGTCATGTACGGTTCTTGGGCTTACTGATAGTTGATACTTTTTCACTAAAAGATAAAACAATTCTGCATTTCATTTGTTAACTAACCCTTGAATAAACAAGTGCAGGGTCGCCCTCAGCTTTGTTCCGCTCATCAGAGGCCGGAAATAACTCACACTCAATTAACGATACAGTAAAGGAAAAAGCGTTTCATTTGCATAGTTTTCAGAGTAGGAAGCTTTTGCTGTTTCCGACACTGTCGATATTGAATTAGACGATTTACCTCAGAATTTAATTTTAACAGCTCAACTCAAAATTACCTGCTGAGCTCGCTGGATTTCAGTCAGCTTCTATGTCCTCGTTACTAACTTTGTTCACCTTTGTAGTTACAACATGGTAAAGCTTGTAACTGTGGCACTCGCACCAAGTTTCAGTCAATTATTTAGATTAAATTTTGAAATTCTGGATCGCGATATGAAACGTGAAGGGGATATTTTCCATCCATAAGCGCTGCATTTGAGTAATGTATTCCGCAAGAGACGACGACCGATTCATTAGAAAGCCGAACCTGCGCGACCACCCCCAACTAGCATTTTGTTAACATGGGCTTCCACCCAAGACAAAGTTACCTATTATTTTCAAACTTCAGGAATTATATCCTTGAATGTTGTCTTTAAAAGTTGAATTGTCTTAAGAGTTGAACCCGTTGTCAAAAATTGGTAACTATGTACCAAATTAGGGCCCTAACAGACCTTTGACCAAGAGGCAAAATTGGTTGATTCAAAACCTCTAGTAAGTAAGTAAAGAATTATTGACCTCGAAGACAAATCCAGATGTTGA